GGCGGTGGAGTGGCGTGTCGACGTAGCAAGGCCGTCTGAGAGAAGGACTCATAGACCTTCGAGCCAACAGTGATATTGGCGAGAAGCATGAACTCTTCGACCAAACTATTAGTGTCAAGCATAGCCTTAGTCTTGACATCCGTCAAAGGATCGCCCACTTCGTCACCCTCGCTCTCTATGCGGACTTCCGGGGAGGCAAGGTTCAAGGCACCAGCGTCCATACGCTTCTGACGGAGAACCTTGGAGAATTTCAAGAGGGTGCGCATGCTTTCGGTTAGCTCGTCCTGCTGCGATTTGTCGTCAATGCGCAACTGAGCTTGTTCGTAACTGAATGCTTCCCGGGAGCGAATGACCGACTTAGAGAAGTTCGAAGACACTATCTCGGCATCAGGTGTCATCTCCCACTGAACCGAGAAGGCATATCGTTCAACATAGGGCTTGAGAGAGCACAGATCTGTACCAAGAAGATGCGGGAGCATGTCGATACGCTTATCGACTAGGTAAACAGTGGTTCCGCGAACACTGGCCTCGAGATCCATTGGGTTGTTGGGCTTGACGAAATGCGACACATCCGCAATGTGGACACCAACCTCGAAGTTTCCATTTGGCAGAAGACGCGCGTGAAGTGCGTCGTCAATATCCTGACAGCCGGGTGGATCAATACTGCAAATAAGCAAGTCTCGAAGATCTTTCCGGCCGTTCCAGCCCTTGTCTTCCTTCGAAACAGGGACCTTCCAATCATGTCCTTCAGATGGAAGGCAGTCCAGTACAGACTTCGGGAATGGCTTGTACTGAACGTCGTATTCAAGCAATAGAGCCTCGGTTTCGGCACCCTTGGTTTCAAGCTCTCCCAGAGACCGAATGAAGTGGCCGGTAGGGTATCTCGAATCGCGGTCCCAAGAATCGATGGTGACAAGAATACGCTGACCAAGAATCTCGCTAGCCTGTCTTGTGCGTACTCTGATCTTCGGGATACGCTTGTCCATGGGCAGCAAGAAAACGTTTTGTTGCCGTCTGCCAGAGGCCTGTGAGCCAGTAGAATTCGAGTCAACGTGGCCAACGTATTGACGCCAGCTGCGCTTGATCACACCAACAACCTTGGCAGTAGGTTGTGGCTTGCCATCTGAGTTCTTGCCATGGGCCTTTTTGACTTCTTCCTGGAGAGCTTTGCGTTCTCTATCCGTCACCACAGCCTCGCTCTCCTCAGTATCAGGGTTATCATTACGGGTCACGGCCTCCTCGTCCACAATCTTAGTTGAGGGGCTCTTCCACTGGTCCTGTGGTAGAATTTCGACCACGACAGAATCACCTGCAATAGCGCGGTTACTGTTATCACGGCCCAGAATGAGAAGAGGTTTATCGAAAGCTGCGGTCTTGACGGAGGCTTCCAGGTAGTTGTAAGGAGAAACATTGAACACTCCTTGGTGCAAAGTCCCAGCTCGCAGACCAGTCGTGAGTTTTGACATTGAGAAGTATTCAGGGTAGAATAGTTCCCCGCGAGTTGCTTCTTTGGCATCTCGCGCATCCTTTGACTCGCTGATCATATCCAGCAACATTTCAGACCCCTCCAAACCGGAGACATAGTCAGATAGCGACAAGGCCGCCACATTTTCTTCCTTGCATTTCCGGAGGTTCTCCTTGTCATCAGTTATGACCACAATTGCCGGAATCGCCTTCTCTTTCTTTCCCTTTTTCGCTGATTGTTGCAGGTGGGAACCGTACCAGCTTGCTACCATGCGCACAGCGCGGTCGTTCCTATCGTTGATTGTTTCTTCCGGACCTCTCCGAACATGGGTCTCTCGGCGGAACTCATTGAAGAAGAGGTAGAAGCGCTTTTCGTCTGACTTGACGAGGGCCAGAAGACGGTTGTAAAGTGGTAGTGACCGGTTTCTCAATTCCTCGAGGACGGTCTGGAGGACAATCACATCGTAAAAGGCGCCAGTGTGCTCAAAAAGATCCATTCCATTAAGCAGCGCATTTGTATCTGGAACAATGTAGTGGCCTCGGGGGAATGCCGTTGTGCCGGCGGGGCGATCGGATAGGATGAACGGCGCAACTGTTTCGCATTAGCAACTTGCTCGACCATCACCGTAATCACTTCCTTACTGTTTCCATTGGCATCAGCCGGCGCAATCGTCGGGCATTGTGAGCAGAGCTTAGAAGAGCAAGGAATATCTTCTCTCAAATAGAGCTCGCGGACAATCTTTTGAACCTTTCCACTTTTCGTCGACCTAACGAAGACCTTGCTGGTAACATTTGCGGCCTGCGGGTTGGCAGACAAGTCTCTCCTTAAACTCTTCATTGCGACGATAAGATTCTACCGTCTAGCAGTTGCTGAATCCGTCAAAACCTGTGTGCCTTGTGAAAGATCCGAGGTGAGAGTCTTGGCGGAAGAAAGGTTATCGCTGATCATCGCGATAACTAGCTGAGTCAGCATACGGGCTCGTCACTTTGGGGTCGAAAGATGCCATTTAATTGCTAACAATAAACGTATTTTCTTGTGAAGAACTTGCTTTCATATTCCTTTCAAGTGTCTGTTTACGTGTCTTTCAGATTTTGAATCTTATCACTATGGTTTTAGCGGTATGTGCACCACCATCCATCGGGCGTGAGCCACTGGGCTAATACCCTGCTTTGATATAGGCCGTGGGGCAGATATGCTCGACTAGCAACATAACTTCGAATCTAGCTCAGTGCAAGGTGTTGGTTCGAAAGGCTGCTGCAGCAGGCGCCAAGGTAATATTATGTATATTCTATTGCCAACTCTCTGATAGACAGCTCATGTATGTTAGGTGCTGTTTCTTCCAGAGGCATCGGACTATATCGCATCCTCCGCAGAGCAATCCTACTCCCTCGCCCAGTCTGAAGAGAGGGCTAGCTTTGTGTCATCCTTACAGAAAGATGCAATGGAACAGGAAATCCACATCAATGTTGGGATCCATGAAATAGCTTCTGAAACCAGGCTCAAGAATTTATTGATTTGGATCGATGACAAGGGAACCATCACCCAAACCTACCAGAAAGTCCACCTGTTTGACGTTGATATCAAAGACGGACCTGTACTCAAGGAGAGCGCGTAAGCTTTTTTTTAAAGATCCGATAGATGACTTGAGTATCATTCGCTAATTTTGAACCATCTAGGAGCGTCCAGCCGGGACAACAAATCCCAAAGCCATTTGAAACACCTATAGGGCGTGTTGGTCTAAGTATTTGTTTTGATGTAAGTACAATGCATGTTGACATTATAGGACATCAGCCGGTTCAACTTCTTACTCATTCTGGATTATCTAGTTGCGTTTTCCAGAGATCAGCCTGGCATTGAGGCGGCAGAATGCTGAGATCATCACATATCCATCGGCATTCACTGTTCCGACGGGCAAGGCTCATTGGGAGCCTTTGCTACGAGCAAGAGCTATTGAGACCCAGTCATACGTGATTGCAGCTGCGCAGGCAGGCACCCATAATGAGAAGAGACGAAGCTATGGTCATTCTGTTATCATCAACCCGTGGGGTGAAGTGGTAGCAAAGCTGGGAGATGAGCACCAGGAACCACAAATCGCGACTGCCGATATTGATCTCGATCTTGTGGCAAAGATTAGGCGTGAAATGCCGTTGCTTCGGAGAAATGATCTATATCCAGAGATCTGAGAATCCATATGTGAATAGCGAGGAGGCGAATGCCAGTCGGCATCTGTTTTCCAGTACATTTTGCGAAGAGCGTATTAGATATCAACTTTCATGCTGTTTAACTTGAATAATTTCATGATGTACTCAGTGCGAATTATAAGCATTTCTTTTGCGACCGGAGCACCTATAACCAACATGACGGAAAGAAACTTCGAAAAGTGTAAAGTGATACAACAAGGAACAAACGAAAATAAATGAGCATGCAAAAAAACCTGTCTAAGAACGAGACCGGAACATCATATCTGCCGTCGCAGGTAGTACAGGCATAAATCAAAATAGTCCCTCTTTGATCTCTATGTACAGTGTACAAATTTGGCGTTTATTTCTTGACCTTGTCGGGGTCCTCGAGGATTCCCTCAGCTTCCAGTCTCCGTCGGGCCTCTTCGAGAGCCCATGTTTGTATACTATCGCAATTGTCAGTATTCGAGTTGTGCGAGGGGCATAGAAGCCAATATTGAGGCGCTAGGTTGGGATACGGATTATACGTACGAGGTATCAGGCTTGAAAACGTATGCGACACCAGCGACCAAAAAGCTTCCAATGAATCCGTAGTACCAAATGTTCTCCCAGCCTTCCTTTTCGTACTTCTGGCCGGGCTTGACACCGAACAGCCAGCCGGTGGGAGGATCATAGTGGTCACCATGGTCCGCGGCGCGGAGACTGGATCGAGTTGAGAATGCCTGGGTGTTCTGGGGCTGGCGAAGGAGGCAGCGCGCCCGGAGGATGTGCGACAATGGCCGGGCAGTCATCTTGAAGATGGGGGTGAAGGAGGGTTGGGGCCGATCAAATGAACACTGGCGTGCGAGGAAATTGGTGGAAGTCACAAGGGACAGAATATCCTCTTAAATTCAAGTGGCAATGTCGGTCTCAATTGATATGTTGCCTCTTACAGGAGAGTGGAGGGGTGCTTCGGCGGGTTGATGTTGAAGCCGTAAAAGGCCGGGAAGCTGTCCAGTTATCGCGCTAGTCTACTTTGGGCAATTTTCTTGTCCGCCTTCACACCTGTTATTTCAGGCAGAACTACGCTCCTGCCTTGGAAAATAGGTGTCAGCACTACACACGCGACGCGTTCTTATCACCTCTGGCCCTCCCCCATTATTGCCCGCCAACAAGGCGCTGGACTCGCCATTCGTTTCATCTTTTCATATGCACAAACATCCGAAGTAATTGAACCGGTAAATACCATCTTTTAACTGGTATGTTTCATCTCAAGCCCCCAATGTATCTCCATTTCTGACATTGTCCTCCAGCTTCCCGCGGAATGTATCATTATCAATTTTGAACGCGTCATTGGATATTTCCGAATCGAAGCAATGGCAACAAACAATGCATACCCCATATCCTCAAACTCACGAACAAAATTGAACGCGTTTCGCTTCCAAGAAGGCGACGTAGTTCCCGACGGCGCTACCTCGAAAGACGAGACGAAATCAGTTAATGGGAGCAAAGAACATAAAAGCTCGGGCTCAAACAGTGTAGCAGAGCTGATGCAGGCGTCTTCTGACAAAGGATGTCCTCCGCCTCGCGACGCTCAAGCACCGGAACCCCAAGTACAAGAATCAAAGCTGATTAAAGAATGCCCTCAGACTCCGGGAAATAGGATACCTCTGGCGGATTTGATCAGCAACGCTGAGGATTCGTTTGATCCCGCGCCAGGCCCGGAGGTGACGCCAGTTGAGCATGTCATCTGGCAGCATGTGCCTGCCAGCTCGAACCCAGACACCTCGTCCCAGACACCCGCGGGTCGTCGCAGGAAGCGCCGGCATAGTTCTTCGCCTGCTGGTTCTCCCTCGAACGGGAATAAGAAAAAGGTGCAAAAGGAACCACTTGATCTGCATTCAATACAAGCCCTCTTCAAGACACCGCAACATGATATGGCTGCTGAATTGTGGAACAACTACATGGATAAAAACATGGTTGATGGCCCCGATGATCTTCCACCGCCACGGTTCGCAAATCTTCTTTCCTCGTCGCCACAGACACCAGGTTCCGGCAGAACAAGTCGAGACTCGTCAGGGCTGAGACGCGCGATCAGCTGCACCACCGATTTCCCTACCTCTCGCACAAAACGACGACGAGTCAATAGACTAGATGTTGGTCCCAGTCGCGGCGTGTTTCAACGAACTAGCAGCAATGTCGAATCTGGGAAACCCAAGTCCTCAAGGATCAACTATCTTATGGAAAAGATTGAGAAAAGTATACACATGGCCCCTGCCGATGTGGCTCCACCTGGATCGTCGCCTCTGCGCCAACATATGGATACGCGAAGGTGTCGATCGTCTTCCCCCACGAGGGACAATAAACTTCACGAGGCCGACGAAGAAACCGCCGAATCCCCATGTGCTGTACCGCTTGAAAAAGTAAGACCTGGGAAACTGCCCGTTCTTCAAGAGTCGTCCTCCGAGTTCGGAGACGATGATCTTGATCAAGATCTGATGGACCTAGCCAATGCCTCGGATGATCCTTTCATTGAGCCGGCACATTCATCTAATGATCTTGATCAAGGTCTGATGAAGCTGGCCGATGCCTCGGAGGATCCTTTCATCGAGCCGGCACATGCATCTAATGAGTTTGCTTCTCTGGGATCTTCTGACTGGGCTGCCCTTGACGCAGAAAAGTCTCGTTCATGGCAGCCCAAAAAGAATTCAATGCTCGACAGCAAAGCTCCCATACTCATACCCCATAACACTACGACTAACGAAACAAAACGCGATGAATTCGATGACTTTGAAGATGAATATGATGATCTGCCTGACAACTTGCAGGAAATTCTGGCAAAGTGTGACACAAAGCCCGTTCCGGTCAATTCCTCAAAGCCAACAACCACTGGACCATCTTTGCAGAGGTCAGATGCAATGAATTCCCCGGTAAATGGCAGTATGCATAGCAAAACCCCAACTGCCGTACCAGTCAAACCTGAGGTGGCATCATCGGATGATGAGTTTGATGATGATTTTGATCTGGAGGCCATTGAGCAAACTATGAAGCAAGCTGGTGAAGGAGGACCCGCTTATGTTAGTCACTCTTAGTCGGTTAATTTCTAGATATATGCTAAGACAGTCAAAACAAATAGAACCTAAAAGGGCGACAAGCCATCAAACGTTACCAGATCGTTGACATCACGAAGAGCACATATGTTACTCCGAAAGGACGTACTCAGCCAGAGCAGGTCAGATACCTTGCCCTTGCCCCGGATCTAGTCCCGTCCGCTGACTTTAAGTACAGGGTTTGCTAGTTGAAGACGAGAAAACCCGAGACCGCAAGGCTATTATCTTGCGAGAGTCATGGTTTGACACTCCCTGCAGCAAGGACTCGTACATCCACCTGGTCGGGGACTTCAACGCAGCCGGCCAATGCGTTGTGGATAATTTGAACCACATGATCATCCTTCACCCTGACCATCTCATTTCTGCTACGGTCGTAGCAGACTCGATAGACTGCCAGCGACGGGCCGTCCTTCAAGATCGAGTCAAAGTCATTGCCGCACTCGAACGACCGCAAGCCTTCGGAGTGTTTTTCCACGAAGTTTTTCAAGAAGCCCTCAAAGCGAACCAATGGGATATGGAGTCATTGAAGACATTGGTCGAAACCGTCATGGGCAGACACATTGAAGAGCTGTACTCGATTCAAATGAGTATCCCTGAAGCCGTTGAATATCTCATGAGCAGGATGCCTGCTGTTCTCGACTGGGCAGATGCTTTCCTTCATGTCAAGCCACAGGTATGTCTCACTGCCGATGGAGGCTTCTTTCTACCAAGGAAACTTGCTAATCAAGATCAATAGGCCAAGTCTATGGTTGAAGACCGCAATAGCACTAAGCTGAACTTGAGTATCAACAAACTGCTTGAGGTAGAGGAGCACATCTGGTCCCCAATGTATGGCCTCAAAGGCAACATCGACGCGACGGTGCAAGTCACTTGTCGTGAAGATAAGATGGAGAAGAACCTCGTGGTTCCGCTGGAGCTCAAGACTGGACGAAGGGATACAAATCAGTCACATAGGGCTCAAACAGCTCTCTACACTCTACTCCTGTCGGATCGCTATGGTAAGTGATGAGATGTTCGCTCAACCCCCCGATCCTCTTTAAGCTAGTTGACTAGTTGCTCAAAATTGTTGCAGATATCGATGTTACATTTGGCCTTCTCTACTACCTTGAGCTAACAAAAACACTGAGTATCCGTGGGATCCGACACGAACTGCTCCAGATGATCCAGGTGCGCAATCACCTCGCTGGCTATATTCGAGAAAGGCAGCAGCTTCCACCGATGTTGAAGAAAGCTCGTCAATGTATTCGATGCTATGCCAAGACTCCTTGCCTCATCTACCACAAGCTCTCCGAGGATGGTGATGGCGAGACCAGCGCACTTGGCGAGGATTTCGATGCAGCTGTTGGCCATCTGAACAACGGTGATCGGGACTTCTTCCGTAAATGGGATGAACTTCTGACCAAAGAAGAGGGTAATCTCGTGAAGTTCAGGCGAGAACTTTGGACATTGCTGAGCAGCGAGCGTGAAGCTCTGGGCCGATGCTTCGGGGATGTCGTTATCGATCCGAATTCTGTGTATGAGGAGAACATCGGGACAAAGATAAACCGCTACCATTATACGTTTGTCAAAAGGCAGGCGCCTCCTGGTTTCTCCTTTGCTGAATCTCAGATATCTGTGGGTGAACCGATTGTCATTTCGGATGAAAAGGGCCACTTTGCTCTTGCCAACGGATACGTGGTGCATAGTAGTTCGTCACACATCAAGGTTGGCGTGGACCGGAAACTTCACAATGCACGATCAAAGACGGCTGGCTTCGATGCAGTCACAAACCAGTCTTTCAGGGGAATCATGGAGGTCGGGAAAGAAGAGCCTGCTGCCCTGGAAACCCCAGATGAACAGCTCGTTTACCGGATCGACAAAGATGAGTTTAGCAATGGCATGGCCATTGTTCGAAACAACCTCATCTGTATGATGGATAAAGACTTGTTCCAAGCGAGGCAGCTTCGACGGCTCATTGTTGAGGGGCAGGCGCCCGCCTTCAAGACGACATCATCTTCATACACGATCTCCGATCCTGGCAACCTGAATGTTGATCAAAGACAAGCCATTGACAAAGTGATGAGCGCCAAAGACTATGCTCTTGTCCTTGGAATGCCTGGGACTGGAAAGACCACAACCATCGCCCATATAATTAGGGCCCTTGTCGCACAAGGCAAGAGTGTTCTTCTTACATCTTACACCCACACTGCAGTTGACAACATTCTGCTGAAGATTCGAGACGACGACATTCGTGTGCTGCGTATAGGTGCAACCGCCAAAATCCATCCAGATGTTCAGGAATTTGCCGATCTTGCCGCAATCCCGAAATCAACCATTGAAGAACTCAAGGACTCATACGAAAAGCCGCAGGTCGTTGCCACTACATGCCTCGGAGTCAACCATAACATTTTCAACCAACGCATCTTTGACTATTGTATTGTCGACGAAGCGTCGCAGATCACGCTCCCAGTCTGCCTCGGCCCCATTCGTATGGCAAGGACTTTTATCCTGGTCGGTGATCACTATCAATTGCCGCCGCTTGTGCAGAACAAAGCGGCCCAGGAAGGAGGACTTGATATCAGTCTCTTCAAACTACTCTCGGATGCACAACCAGATTCGGTTGTCAGCCTCGAGCACCAGTACCGCATGTGTGAGGAAATCATGTTACTTTCCAACACTCTGATCTACTCGGGCCGTCTCAAATGCGGCACGCCGCAGGTATCAGCCCGGTCTTTGGATATACCCAAGATCAACGCCCTCGAGAAATTCCATGTTGAGGACTTGAGCCATGCTCAGTCACAGTCCCAACGAGAAATCTGCTCGGGCACCCCCAGTAACACCTGCTGGCTGCGAGACTTACTGACACCATCTGCAAAAACGTGCCTGGTCAACACCGATCCGATCGGCCCCGCAGCCCTCGAGATAGCACAGGGCAATCGAGTCGTGAATCATATGGAGGTCTTCCTCTGCTCACAACTTGTGGAGTCATTCATTGCCTGTGGTATTCCCGCGCGCAACATTGGTGTAATCACTTTCTACCGCAGCCAACTCTCTCTCCTTCGCCAGAGCCTGCGACACTACACCCCGGATCTGGAAATGCACACTACAGACAAGTTCCAAGGCCGCGACAAAGAGGTCATTATCCTGAGCTGCGTCCGCAGTAACGCCGAAAACAACGTCGGCGAGCTCCTACGTGACTGGCGTCGTGTCAACGTCGCCTTCACCCGCGCCCAGACCAAGCTCCTGGTTGTCGGCAGCAGGTCCACTCTCCGTGATGGCAACGAGCTCCTCTGCAAATACGTGCGTCTAATGGAAAGCAAAGGTTGGGTTTACAACTTGCCCAGCGAGGCGATAGACAAGCATGTTTTCCCTTCCTGTACAACACAGTCGCAGCTCATGTCTCCGGGTGCGGCCTTGACTCTTGGCTCTGCCAAGGGCAAAGGTAAGGGTAAGAACAAAACACCTTCTCGCTCTTCCCGTGAACCACTAAGCCCACTGGGTTCCCGACAAGCAGCACCCGGCCTTCGAAAGCCTTCAAAGACGGGTGCAAAGCTGTTCAACGGCACGAAGGTGGTTGGGAATCGGCCCATCCTGCGAGACATAGTGAATGACCTGACGGGCTAGCATACCATGTTTCAATCAAGGTCCTTGTTTCTGTTCTTCAAATGCAAATCGAGGCGTTCTGTTTTATCATCTCACGCGACTTGGCACGCCGATACGGCCATTCCTTACATGTAATGTTTTGGGCTTGGCGAATGCACTGAGCATCCTGTATTTTCTAATTTTACTTAGCACGGGAGCCTGTTGGTTATTTGCTGTCAAATGTGGTTGTATACTAGGATTTGTTTCTTCCATTGTGAGCACTGTAGTCTGCAAGCAATACGCAACCTTGGAAGATGCTCGATGTTCCGCTTCTCAATTAATCGAATCTACAGTAGGAATTGATAAACGAGAAAATTGTATTCATGTAGGCTACAATCCATGTGTACCTACTGCAACACCGTGGTCAGAATCCCCCTGATGAACAAATCCTCCTTCGAAATTCAAAATACACATCACAAGAGCAAAGACCTCCTTCTCAACATCCTCCGATATTTCTCCTCAAAGACATCCGTTAGTTCATCATCATCCTTCCAAAAAATCCACGGTGTGCCAGACAAACACCATCTCTTCCCGATTCTACTTTGTAGAGACTCGTGCCTTTTTCGCCTTGGGTCCGTTCAAGTAGGTTCGGTCGCCATTAGGGCTAACAGTCCATCGGGCATGATTGTTTGGGTTGGCCACAAAATTGCTAGGCACGATGTTTTCCATAAACTGGAAGGTTCTCTTGCTGGGCGTAGCGGGGGAAAGGGAAGAAACAGAATGCATGCGCTCCTTGGTAGGGGTGGAATAAATTCCCTGCATTTGTTGGTTGGGTTGCTGAACTTGCTGAGCTGCTGAAGCCTGGAGTTGTTGGGTTTGCTGCATCACAGACTGTATGCGCTCCTTGGGAGGAGTGGGATAAGCTCCCTGCAATTGTTGGGTGGGCTGCTGAACTTGCTGAGCTGCTGAAGCCTGAAGTTGCTGGGTTTGCTGCATCACAGACTGTATGCGCTCCTTGGGAGGAGTGGGATAAACTCCCTGCATTTGGTGAGTGGGTTGCTGGACTTGCTGACTCGCTGAAGCCTGGAGTTGCTGGGTTTGCTGCATCATAGACTGCATGCCCTGCTTGGGAGGGGTGGAATAAACTCCCTGCATTTGTTGGGTGGGCTGCTGAACTTGCTGAACCGCTGTAGTTTGGAATTGCTGGCAAGCTCCCTGCATTTGGTTGGTGGGCTGCTGAACTTGCTGGGCCGCTGTAGTTGGGAATTGCTGGTAAGCTCCCTGCATTTGGTGGGTGGGCTGCTGAACCTGCTGGGCCGCTGTAACGTGGATTTGCTGGGTTTGTTGCATCACAGACTGCATGCGCTCCTTGAGAGGGCTGGAGTAAACTGCCTGCATTTGTTGGGTGGGCTGCTGAACTTGCTGAGCCGCTGCAGTTTGGAATTGCTGGGGTTGTTGCATTGCATTCTGTTGCTGTTGCTGATACCGGTAGTGACGGACTTGCTGTTTGTGCTGCATGATCTTTCGTTGGCACAGGTCAAGCTGCTGTTTCTGAAGCTGACACTGCTGCTGGTAGATCTGGAGCTGGTTTGGATCTCCGGGCTGCTGTTGTTTCAGGTGGGCTTCCTGTTGCTTAAGTTGGTGCCATTCAATACGAAGATAGTGCTCTTGACTTTGAAGACGCTGTTGGAGTTGAAGCAGCTGATTTTGGCTGGGATGGGCCGCTGGCACTGGAGCCATCGAGGCAGGGACAGGAGTCGGGGCAGGGAAACGAGTCATTGGAGCAGGCATTGGTTTCATTGGGGCAGGCATGGGTGTCGTCGGGGCAGGCGCAATCTTCTGAGGTGGTGTCACTGGGGCAGTTGTGTTTCCCTTCGCCTTGCTTGGAGTGCTTTGTGCCTTTGTCTTCTTCTGCTTTTTATGTAGCTCGTCATCCTGCTTGCTCTTGGGAACCCGCTTGGCTTTCTGCTTGGGCGGTCGCTTAGCAGGTTGAGGGCGCGATTTGCCTCGTGACAACTCAAAGACCTTGACCGTACCAACAGCTGAACTGGAGGTGGCAGGAGCGACTTGGAAGGCTGGATCAAGGATGACCGGAGCGCGTTGAGGGACCGGAGCAACATTGGCGACTGGAACAACACGGGTGATGTGGCTGACTGGAGGGATGGCTTTGGTAACCGGGGCATCAATGGCGGGGGTGACTTGAGCAGCTGGATCAATGGCGATCGGAGCGCGTTCAGTGACTGCAGTAGCAACTTTGGTGACTGCAGCAACTTGAGTGATTGGAGCGGCTTTGACTGGAGCGGCTTTGGCTGGAGCGACTTTGGCAGCCGGATTAATGATGATCGGGGCGTTTTTGATAACCGGGGCATCAGTAGCGGGAGTAAGTTGAACGACTGCAAGGGGAGGACCCAGGTCGGCGTTTTCGAGAGACTTGAGGGTATCCAGCGGATAGACTGTACCCGGCTGGTTGGTGCAAGGGCTCAGTGGGGTCACATCATCAATCACGATGGGATTAGATGATTCAAGGCCAAGCTCCAGGTGATCCTGGGTTGCTGGGCCAATGACAGGGTCTACCCCAAGTTCAACAAAGGCCTTGTCAAAATTCGAGCCGGGAGCCTCATCGGGGTCTCCTTCGAAGCGATATCCTAAGAACATAAGTTAGTTTAGTTCGATGGTCCTAAACCAGGGGATGTAGTTACCATTAGCACGAGCAAGTTCCCAAATAGACATGCAGGAGCCATCTGCGCGAGAAATTATCTCAGGTACTTTCCATTCATCGAGGCCCGGCATGGCCTTTTTCGGTTCTTCATCACGGGGCACATCGACAAAGGCGTCGGTAAAGAATTGGGTAGGCTCGGTAGGCTCCATAACGGTAGGCTCCACAACAGTAGGCTCCATAACGAATGATGGGATGAATATGAATGAAAATGAGAGTACAGAGAGTTGTAGAGTCAAGGAAGGTGCAGAAACACGAAATTTGAAAAAGCTGGATGAAGTGTGTCAATTGCTGAGCGAGTGGAGGACTCGGAGAGCAAAGACTATGGAATAGCTAACTGTATTTTGTAGTGAATGAATGATGGATGGATGGGTAACAAAATGTAATGATGGGAAAGAGGTATGGGGTATGGGGAAAGAAAGAAGGAGAGAGGAACGAAGAAGAAGGAAGAAAGAACGAGGAAGGATGAAGGGTGATAGGGGATTGTGGGATTGTGGTAAGGTACGTGATGTGCCCTCGTTCAGGGCAAGATCATGGGGGTTGCGTGGATGAAGCCCTGCCTTAAGCTCCCCATGGGGTACTTGGGTCGGCGACAAAGGGTAAAGGGTTAGGTCAGGGTTCGGTCACTGATGCCCCCATCAACTCCCAACATAAAGTAACACGACCACCAGGTTCAGTGGTTCCTTCACCATTCACCTGGGACTCTTCGATGGATACACTGGGCTGTCCACTGGATTGTCCACTAGGAAGGACCATAACCGTGAATCCGTCCCTTCCTTCCACAGCTTCTTTGCCCAGAGTAGCGACGGCAAGCGCAAACCAGGATAGATTGCTAGCCTTGGTGCTTTGCCTATCCATTGGACAATGTCAGCTCTCAACCAGACTTTTATACCAAGGGATATTCTGGACTCACAACATATTGAGGAACAGCCGCATGATCCAACGGGACGATATCAAACCATGCCATTTTAAGCTCATCGAATCAGAGGCCTGGCTTTCATCTGCGTCTGGAACCGCATACCGACTCAGGTACGGATCGACGTCATCTTCCCCAGATAATCGCGGAGATGCCATCTGAACCATGGCAAGCCATTCGGATAGGGAGCCACAATGTTCCTGCAGATCACCTTCCGACATTTCCTCGAGTACTTTCCCGTTTTTGTAAAACGGCGGAGTCATTATTTGCTCGTGATCAATTTCCTGTGGCTCACAGGTTATCAACTGTGGTTGAAGCTTATTGATCGGCTTGTTTCCTGATCCGACTTTTAGTATATTGTTGCTGATATTTCCTTTTTAGGGTTCGGGGGCTTGATCACCTTCATCTAGACCGGGGTTGCTTTCCAGGTCGTGGAAGAGCCAGGCCATTGATTGAGTCAGAACATTGGTGAATGCCCGTACGATTCTTTCGAAGCCTTTCTTGCCATGTAGCATCGAGGGCAGCCGTAAGTTCAATTCAACCACTGACGACATGATTAGTAAAGGTTCAACCAGCCCATTTGCTCTGGTTGTACACACAGAATCTTTCTTTTGCATGCTTTCTGCCGCCGCTGCGGAACGGCTTGCCCGTGAGACCTGTTCGCTCATAGATCTCCTTTCCTAGTTCCATTCGAAGTACGCCTATTTCCATTTGAATCAACTCTCGGTTCCGCAACAGCAAGACTCTTCCAGCCGCAGCTTCAGGAGAACGAACCATCTTGAAGTGTGAAGACATTATCGGATCCCGAGCGTCCTTCAGAGATCATCAAAATATTACCTATACCCCAAGTCAGATTGCCGTTTTCGAAAAATTGCACTCTCTGGGCACAAAAGCTGTCCGAAGCTTGTGCAACTGATGACCACTCAAATATGGAAGAGCTTTTAGACTAATCTGGCGAAGACAAAAATACCTGACTTGATATATGTATTGAAGAAATCATGCTCAAGCAGAGCCGAAGGAGCCATGAAGACTCGTGCATATCGAGGTTTTTCTAGTTTGGTCTCGAGCGACGGCTTGATCTGTGAGTAGAGCTCCCTTGGGAAGATAACCTCGACCTATACGCAATGATCAGTCAAATGACTTTTACCTCTCAAGGCAAGCCACAAGCCACCTACTGAGTGTACAAATGCATGATTTTGAATCGTAGAAAAGGGCGATCTCTTGCCAGGGATCTGCTTTGAGTCGATGAATGCCGGCAGTTGAGCGATGGTTGTGAAACACTTTTCACGACGCGATGTATCGTCCACTTCTTCAAACATGTTGTCTCTGATAGCCTTCGAAGTGATGCTTAAAGTTGACAATCGAAGCTCTTGGGTTCTGAAGTGTCAATTTTTCAGCCGAAGGGTGAGGTTCGATTAAGCTCGGGCTTATCGGACCCATAAGGCTGCAGCTATCAAACCTTCCACATTCAGGTGTTGAATTGGAATTTGGGGTATTTTAACAAGGTCTAGGTAACCATGTAGGAATATTATACAGAATCTAGATATATCGAGTCTGAATGGCTTATGTGAATTCAAGGCAGAATGTATCAATAAATATTAACGGCCTCGGTATTGTAACAAGTATCATGGCTCAATGTAGCCTTGCTCTTATATCAACTTGTAAGAGACATCTGAACTTAGATAAAGCTCAGTATCAGTTCTTCTAAAGTGAAATTCGCTCCAATAGCTTTTATTATGCGACCATGTATATATAGCGCGAACAAAATGCACTGTCAATTAGAATATATGGTGGATAATGCATCGGAACAGTACCTATGACATACAATATAAAGCTTTGAAAAGAAACAGGGTGTGTTGAATAGGTCAAATGTAACTAAAATGTATCAATTGCAACCTAAGCAACATTGAACATGCCTATGCCATATTTCACAGCGGTGTTGCTTGTAAGTAGTAAAACGCATTTCTTCTCTATAGGTGGGAAACCGCCAGACCCAGCCAAATAAAAAGCTCACTGACATCTTAATTGTTGCTTCCTTTTATCCCGATTTTTCCGCCAACATTCTGGCAATTCAAACCCAACTTGGACGCAAAACCCAATACAATACAGCAGAAAACGTGGGGTGCCTGAGGCGAACCTCGTGATGGCGGCAACACCCGATAAGGATTCCCCGGCAATATCGGGCTACCCAAAGGCGGTACCCGAGTGTTCTCCAATTCAGTTGGTCCATCGTTCTTCGAATAGCATCCAACCTAACCTGCTAGGTCCTATCGCTTCTACTTCTGCTGCTGCTTCTGCCGCTGGTTCGAATGCAGGTAGACATCCAGTCTCGCGCCAATTGCTAGAGGAGGAAGACGAAGAGATGGCACCCGCTTCGCGTCGCGAGCTCCTACACAAGGATCACTTTGCATTCGTGTTTGGGAGTGTGAAGACCCAAAACTACTTAGATCCTGTTTCCAAGGGACCAGGCTCTCACACGTAAGTCTGGTTTTTGCGCCAGGGGCTGTCGTTCATTTACTGACAATGGTCTGGAACCACAGGATTCGCACTCTTGCTTGGAACCCCACGGGCCAGCTGATTGCGACTGGCTCAGCAGATCGCACTCTACGAATCTGGAACCCCGAACGTCCCCATGTACGATACTCTACCGAATTGCGTGGCCACACAGCTGGTATTGAGAAAGCTCTTTTCAACCCAGTTCGCGATGCGGAGCTGGCCAGTTGTTCGGCCGATGGTACAGTGCGCTTCTGGGATGTGCGCTCCAAGACATGTGTGAGCCGTCTAGATGTCGGCGGCGAAGCATTTACACTCTCCTGGTCTGCTGACGGCAGCACAATGATCGTTGGCAAGAAGGTAATCAAGTTCATGCAGCGCTGCGACTCTGCAGACTTGATATCTCTCATGATATAGTCACTAACATAACTATGTGAACAGGACGACACCTTAATCCCTGTCTCCGTTCAATTCCCATCATCTCCTACCACCCACCCCGATGGCGTGAACGCCCTCAACCTCCCCTCCTCTACACCCGGCGCAACCACATACACAGCTCTCGACCCTCACCCTCAGACCGTCCAAACAAATGCAACAACTTTCTCCTGGTGCATGCCGACACCCGAACGTCCGGAGCAGCATGTATTCGTGACAACCGGTGAAGGTAAGGTCAAAATAATGTCGTACCCTTCCTTCGATATTATGCACACCCTCAACGCCCACACCTCGGCCTGCCTTTCAATTGCGCTTGCCCCAACAGGCCGATACCTCGCAGTTGGCGGAAGCGACGCTCTCATCTCCCTCTGGGACACAACCGACTGGATCTGCCGTCGCACTTTGTCCAGTGAGAATGGTGGTGCTATTCGTGGCGTGAGCTGGAGCTTCGATGGCCGCTACATTGTTGGCGCATGCGACGAGCTTGGATGTGGTGGGAATGGACTGGAGATCTTCCATGCTGAGTCTGGTGATAGCATTTACACAATTCCTACTGCTGGCATCAATGCTGGTGTCTCTGCTGTTGCGTGGCATCCCTCTCGCTATTGGCTGGCTTACTCGACTACCACTGATGGACCTGGTAGCTCTAGTGCTGGAGGCTTGAAGATTGTCGGTGCTGCTGGTGGTGGCCTGTAATCTCGAGCATTATGTTGTACTTCTTCAGCAAGCTTTTTTTTGCCCTAACCTCTATGATCTAGATTATTATCAAAAATTATCATGAATGGACGTATTGAAAAAAGAGACCAAAGGAGCGCTAAGTAAGATCAATAGATTTCTTAAGATTTCGATGTAATATTGTAGCGATTGGTTATTAACATGAATTGACAGGCCCCAAATACTCCAATTGCAACCGTAGTAGCTATCCAAGAGAGAAGAGTTCCGCCCCAAAAAGACCGTTCATTCGTTCGTCATTTAATCATTCAAAAGCAGAGCTTGATGGAAGCTTGTGAAGCTGCCACTTTACTCGAACATTGTAGCAAGAAGAGAATTGCCAGTTCCGTGGTTGATATATCGACCCCCAGGGAAAGAAAGGTACTCAGCCCAAGATCTCGTAATAAGTGACCCCAATATAGGAGACCGAATCCTCACGTACATCAATCTCAGCCTGGGGCGGGGAAGGGAAAACAAAGCAACAAAGAAGTATCCAATAGGATGACGACCTGTTTCGAGTCGCATGCAAGACCCCTAGCCAGGATTGATAAAGGCGTCGATGGGTCTTCCTAATTATTGAGAGCCTAGGAGCTCGGACATTGAGCACGCCGAGGAAACACGAAGCCCCAATGTCGTTCGTCCAACGGCAACATGAGAGATTTCATTTGTTGCAACAATCTCAAGCTTGATGAGTTGTTGACATCGGAGACTTTCCAACCAAGATTCTTTTGTAAGAAATTATATTCCACCACGTATTTCTCTGCTCACGATGACCGCCAGTTGTCCCAGCCATTGTTGGCCGCATTTTCACCCTGGATTTGAGTATTCAGCATTTGGGCCCATTGAGATTCACTGAAATTCTCCATGTTCAGATTGCCAAAGTCCTCATTGCCCGCTTCTGGATTTGGGGTTGGAAGGTCCCACGCAGAAGGCATGGAGAATATTCCCGAGGCTCCTGTGCCAACTGACGGGCTATCAGAGCTGTTGGGATAAAAACGACCAGCCATAGAACCCATATCAGTGGCTTGCGGGTTTGTGTTTCCTTGTGGCATGATGTTTGGATTGACCTTATCAAAGGGCGGGGCCGACCCCTGACTCGGATATACCGGGTTTGTCTTTTGGCTTTTGTTTCCGGGAGGTGGGTCGTCAGCGCCGTTGATTGAATAGGAGGTGTTGGAGGATGAATTCAACGTTGAGGGGGTGGGATGGTCTGATGGTGGATTGTTTCTGTCACTGAGGTTGCCGAAATCAGGCGGAAAATCCATGTCCAAATCGATAATGGCCCCTGGTGGCCCGGCTTGGTCCATTTTTGGACCTGTCGCCTGAATGGAAGTTCCGAAAAAGTGACGTGTGTCATCGCCATTATAGACTGGTCCTGCGGCGGGCTGTGTCGTTGAGTCCCTGTTCCGGCTAGGGAGGGACGTCGTCAAACTGGCAGGCATAGGCTGTTGACTGCCACCGCGATTGGTATTGTATTGTGGAGACACCTCCTTTGCGGCCCCTTGTGTTTGGCGGAGGTTGTAAATAGGAGTACAGTCGACATTATCGTGGCAGTATGGTTGCTAGAGAAAATGAGATTAGCTTCGATTAGTTATTGGGGAACAAGCCAGGGAAACCTACTACCATCGAATATGCAGCACACGTGTTGGATTTCTGTCTATCGTCCAAAGCGCGAATACCAGTTCCATCAAGATCAACATCCAATTGAACAAGAAAGGACTCGGTCAGAGGGTTTTTGTTCTTCATGGCGTTCAGAGCGGAGACGAGAAATTGCAACGAGGAATGAACACTCGAATCCTCTGGTCGGGATTTAAGATACTGCACAAAGACACGAGCAGCAATATAGAGACAAAATGACATGAAAGGATTTAGCTGCAAGATGTTAGTGCAAATGATTTTGGGCAAGAAAGCTCAATAGAAACTCACGCTCGTCAAATCAACATGGCTGATCATCTTCATGGTACTAGAAATCTGGTTCGCGGCGACAAGACATCTGCGCTTGCTCTCGGTCGTAATCTGATTCGGCATCTTGTTCTTTTCGGCCTTGAATATTGCCGCTTGGTGAAGACATATGGTTGAAGTGTGGATGCTCATATTGGCGAAAATGACGTTCACGTCCGACATACCACTTGGAAGTCGAAGATGATCAGGCAACGAGAGCGAAATGTGCAGAAGAATGTTATCATGGCTTCTGTGGCGCTTCCAAAACTCCCCATTGAGGTCATGATCGTTGTCTTGGGGCTGAGGCCGATGAATGTGTACAAGGTTGCGACCGAAAAGACTTGCCAAAACCATCACGCATGCAAAAGGGGCTAGTGTAGAGACACCCTCTCCAGTAATGATATCGTTCAGATGAAGTGTTCGTTGTGGCTTGCTCTTGGTAAAGGATTCTTCGGATGCGGGTAGGTTGGTCATGATCTGATTGTTGTCAGCATATCGCCATCTACGCCGTGAAGAGGGTTCACAAAAGAAATACTGACATCGTTCTCATCAATAAGAATGGGCCAACCGGTTCCAACGCTCGAATACCTATCTGTGGCAAAGGCGCCCCAGAAGACTCTTCTACGTTCTTCGCGTTCTGTCCAATCTTTCGGTGGTAAAATGGATTGTTTGACGTCGAGACCAACACCATCAAGCCGATTCAATCCCAGCATCAGTGCTAGTCTTGCAGCTTTACCAACACTCAGCCAGGCGCGTGGGAAGAAGATCATTCGGAATTCATATGTGCCGATAAATATCCATGTTTGGCAATGTGCTAAACTGACGATGTTCTCTCCGAATCCTTTCATTTCGTCCATCTCGGCATACTTGCGTGCCCGCTGGTAGAAATGATTGTGTAGAAAGAAGTATTTGTCACTGACGGATGCGGCATTGCACCACATAATGTATCGCAGGCAGATCGGTGGTCGCATATTAGGGGGGAGATTCAAGGCTGCATAATAACGGGGGCGGTGGATGATGGGCATCATTGGATAGATTTTCTCGAAGAATAAAGCATCCCTAGACAATACGATTGTATTAGAAACCAGTTCAAGGAGAAAGCCGCATAGAACACGTACAGTTCATCGATCACGTCCTGTGAAGGAAGGGGCTCCTCCAGTCCTAGACTGATCAAGTCCCATTGAGAGTTGCCACCACCCTGGGTAGTTGGCGGCGGAGGATATAACATTTGGCTTGGCTGGCCTGCGCCGGAGGCAGTGGAAGCTGGAAATGAGCTATCCATGTTACCTCCAATACCTCCCAGGTCCGAGAGGTCAGGCAAATCCAGTATAGATTCATCGGCGATGGGTGCTGTGAATGCGTTCTCCAATGGTTGAGGTGGGGAGGTTCGTTGGGTGGGTTCCGGATCCTGGCCTTTGAGAAGAGTCTCTACTTGAGCTGATACAGTCATTATCGTTAGCGATATAGCTCACTGTCAATACAGCATTTGCGACCATTGTTCTCAACGAGTTCGTACCTAATCGCGCTTCAAGCTGCTTGACATATCCCCGTTTGGGACCACTCTTCTTGCGCACTTCATCGTAAGAACATTCATGTCCCAGACGTGAGCAAGTCCCACAGCTGGGTCGTCTCCCATCACACCTTAGTTTCCTCCTCCGACAGACAACACATGCGATGCGCTTGGGGCGGGGAACGAAGTTGCTTTCTCCGGTGCTAGTGTTTTCGGCAGCGGCACCACTTTCACCAGCCATGAATTCCATTTGAGACTGGCCGAATTCTGTGGAGTATTGCGACGATTCGGGACCAAAATTGGACGGCGGAAGTGCCGCCATGGCGGGCTTGATTGCAGAGTTACGACCTCGGGATGTTCACGGTGTAGTAGCTGAGTAATTCGAGTGGATGAGGCCCCGGATTAATCTTGGCCAAGTCTGGTTTTTCCGGGCGCAATTTTTTTTTTTTAAGGCAGAATGGCGCAAATAAGATAGACCTGAGGCGTCAACGAGCCAGGAACACCCAACTGTTGGCCAGATGTGCCGAAGTGGGGATGTGAAAAGGAAGTTCTATGATGGCGGAAGTTCGTATCAGGAGAGGCTGAGCATTCCGACCCAAGCTGTGTTTTAAAAGCTAGATCAAAGAACCCCTATTGTTCGTTTCGATCGGATTCCAATTGAAACCATGGAAAAGGCTTGAATTTCCATTCTAATCCCCAACAAGAGCGTTGACAGGTGCGATCAGCAGAGGGCCACGCACCAGCGAGACTGCCTGGAGGCTTGGCACGCAACTGGGGACTAACTAATCAGAGTAGACCTTACATAAGCCTCCTGGACGGAGTACATCATACACAACATTTATGTATATTCACTATGTGCAGAGAGATGAAGCCGTTTATAAATCTATTTTCTTTCACTTTAAATGTATATGGCCTCGAGCCATCGTACTGTACAGTGCCCATTGCCCGAGTTTCAGTCAGATGGCAGATGCGCAAAACAAGAATCCCCAAGAAATAGCGTGTGGTAGAAGAAACGATGAGACATTTAATGTGTCAAGAAACAGGAAAAGATATCGTACAGTCATCCTCTGCGCGGTAGGGATGAGGTATAGGGTAAGGAGGTACAAATGGTTCACGGACAAAGCAGAGTGAAATGCCCACTTCGGCAAAGCAGCATCATCTCTAGTTGTATCCACGACGGCGCTTTCCTTGGTTGCGAGGTCTGGCATGAACAACAGCCTTGTTGATCTTCCACTTCGGGCGGGTCTTGTAGCCGGATTTGGTCTGGGGGTGAAAATTAAGAGTCAGTCCCATGGAGGTTCAGAAGGGTGCAAAACAAAAGGATATACATACCGGAATACCCCAAGGACTCTTCGGGTCGACGTTACCCTTGGACTTTCCTCGTCCACCACCGTGAGGATGGTCCATGGCGTTCATGGCCAGACCACGCACCGTCGGACGAATGTTGAGCCAGCGTGAGCGACCAGCCTTTCCGAGCTGGGTGTATTGGTAGTTCGGGTTGCTGGTAATACCAACGGTAGCGCAGCAGTCCTTGTGAATGAGCCGGGTCTCACCGCTTGAGAGACGGACAGTAATGTGCTGGGCCAGACGTTCCTGCTTCTGCTGGTCACGCTGTGACAAGGGCTTCTTTTCAGCCTCGGGCTGTTCGTCTTGAATCGTTTGCTGGCGCGAGTCACTACCCTTGGCCACAACTGTAGCATATGTTCCAGCACTCCGACACAGTTGACCACCCTTCCCGGGTCGCAATCCCAAGTTGAAGATCAATGTTCCCACTGGAACCATGTGCAACGGCAGACAGTTTCCTCTCCAGGCGGTTCTGGCCGCCAGCACACCGGGATCGACAGTGCTGCCCATGCTCTTCCACAAATCTTCAGGAATTCCGGACATATAACTCTGGACCACGTCGCCGGCGCGCATGCCATCCGCTGCGAGAATGTAGCTCAACTTGCCGGTCTCCTTACTAGTAGTCAGAGCGATGTGTGCGGTACGCCCGGGATCATACTCGATACGCTCCACTGTGTGCGGCCCCGGAGCCATGCGCAGAAAATCGATTGTCCGAATTCGACGCTTGGCACCACCTCCATGATGGCGGACAGTGACTCGGCCAGAGTTGTTTCGACCACCCTTGGCGTGGCCACGCTTGGGGAACGTTAATTTGTGAACCGGGCGGCCTTTCCACAGATGATCATTCACAGGACGCCGCAGGTGTCTCACACCGGGGGTGCGCGGAGTGTAGGTGCGCAGCTGAATGCCAGCAGAATCGCGGCCGGGGGGGGAGCGAACGAGACGTTGGGGTCAATAAAAGTGTTCACTGGTGTTTCGATAGGCTTGGGCTTGTTCTTCTCAATTTCTTTCACAATTGTCGAATAGCCACGAACTGGCGAAGGCAGAGAGGGTAGACACCTAAAGGGCAGCCGAATGCCCCGTAGGGCAATTCGGGGTTGGAGCATAGCTGCCAAAGGATAGGGGGAGGGAAGTGAAAGGTAGGGTTTGAAGGGATCAATTGAATAAAAGTGCGATCGATGAAAGCCAAAATGTCAATGGAGCAGACCAACAAAGACTCAACAGCTCCTCTCCTCTGCTTTGTAGATATGCACCTGACTCTCCACAGAAACAAAAAGTTCACTGACCACGTGACTTTATTACTGCACCGCCTGTTCCACCGCCACAACCCATAAAATGTGGCAGATGTCTGGTCACGGGAATTCATCCATGGATCGAATTTGACCGCCTTATGTCAGATTTGATGCACGTGATTTCGTTGTTACATGAGATTCGATACTATACGAAACCGAAACGCCGTCGTTGTCGGAGCAACCAGTTTATTTACCCATTGCCATACTCACGCGTATCTCCCTTCATTGCTGGATCTACTTTTCTCAACCTATTCAACACATCTTTTTCTTGTTTCTATTCCGTTCTTCATTGCTCAGCTCAATTCTTCATTCTAGAAATTTTACAAAAAAAGGGAGCTCGAACGTCAATTAGGTGATCCACGCGACTGGCGGAGTGGGGCTACTTGTTTTCCACGCTAGGCCACAGTACTAGGGCCAAACATCGCCTTTTGCCCTCAAGCTCTCTTCCTTTTCCCTCATCATTCCAGTTAAAGCTACCCTTCCATCTTCCCCCCACTCCCCAACTAACAAATTATCGCGTGCGGATTCCTGTTGTACAGTGTCCCCAGATCATTTCTGTATCATTTGACATCTTTTTCCCCCGATTCGCGCGCCATTTGATCTTCGGAACCAGGGTTCTGCGCGGCCTTGATACACATCAACATAGTCATCTTTGAGCCGTAAACATCGACTCATATCATCCCCACCTGTCTGAAAGCTACCTCTGCCTACTGGCATTGTAGTTTCTTCGGAAAAACAGCATTTTCACGCGTGGTACGTGCACCTCGTCCTTAACCCTCTGGTATGAGGTCCCCACCGAGGTAATATCAAATGGAATGCTGACGTGATTTCCTGGGCAGGACAAGAATCATTATATCCCTGTCCCATTTCTTCCCTTCCTACGCGTCGGTTTCCTTTTATTTTCTTCACGATGCCTCAGGTGAGCAATCTTTAGCCTTGCCAAAACACGCGTTTGATATCCTGGTCGCGGGATATCTGATCTATAGCCTCGAGTTCTAGGTGTAGCCTATGACCTCACTAGACTGATCACTGACTCCATTGCAGGCCCGCAGTCTTCGTACAAGAGGTACGATGAATGAGAACGATGAGAACGGTCCGTCAGCGCGTGTGACGCGGGCCAAGACAGCTGCCCTCAGCACCGATGTCTCTGCCGCTGGACCCAAGAAAACCCTGCAGACCAAGCGAACCACGTCGACTACCACGGCTAATGGATCCCAACGTCCCCGTGCTGCCCTCGGTGATGTCAGCAATGTCAACAAGACGGATGGTGCTGAGATGAAAGCGGGGAAGAAACCGGCTGCCGCCAAGGCTGGTTTGACCTCAAAGGCAACTGTTCAGACTGGAGGTGTTCAGAAGCTCAGCCGCACTAACTCCTCACGAACTGCAACACGACCTGCCCTCCAACCCCGTGACTCGAACAAGAAACCTGCTGCCAACGCCCACAAGCGCCCGTCGCTCAAGGATACAGCGGAGGAGCCTCCCCGCAAGAAGCCCGAGCTTGAGCGGAAGACACGAACCATCGAGAAGATTGTGGAAGAACCAGCAGTGAAAGAGCCAGAGATTAGCGTGAAGGATGCTCTGAATGACGCTGTGCAGGATCTGGACACTGAGGACTTGGATGACCCATTAATGGCTGCCGAATACGTGGTTGAAATCTTCGAGTATCTCAAGGACCTTGAGATTATCACTCTGCCCAACCCTGATTACATCGACCACCAACCCGACCTTGAATGGAAGATGCGTGGCATCCTTGTCGACTGGCTTATCGAAGTGCACACCCGTTTCCGTCTCCTCCCTGAGACCCTGTTCCTTGCTGTCAACATCATCGATCGCTTCCTGTCCGCTGAAGTTGTCGCCCTTGATCGTCTTCAGCTCGTCGGTGTTACCGCCATGTTCATTGCCTCCAAGTATGAGGAGGTCCTCTCTCCTCACGTCGCCAACTTCAGCCATGTCGCCGATGAGACCTTTTCGGATAAGGAGATTCTTGATGCCGAACGTCACGTCCTCGCAACCCTCGAGTACAACATGAGCTTCCCCAACCCCATGAACTTCCTGCGACGCATCTCCAAGGCCGATAACTATGATATCCAAACCCGCACTCTGGGCAAATACTTAATGGAGATCAGTCTCCTCGATCACCGTTTCATGGGCTTCCCCCAGAGTCACATCTCTGCCGCAGCCATGTACCTTGCACGTCTCATCCTCGAGCGTGGACCTTGGGTACGTTATATTTCATTTCGCCTGTTCAACGCATCTCAACTAACTTATCATAGGATGCCACTCTCGCTCACTACTCTGGATACACTGAAGAAGAGATCGATCCCGTCTTCCAGTTGATGGTTGATTATCTCCATCGCCCTGTCTCCCACGAAGCCTTCTTCAAGAAATACGCCAGCAAGAAGTTCCTGAAGGGTAAGCTACATTGATAATTCCGTTGTCTGGCGAGATGCCATGCTAATCAGTCTTCCAGCTTCCATCTTGACTCGCCAATGGGCCAAGAAGTATCACCATCTGTACGTCGACGGCTCCGAGCAGAGCAGTTACGCCAAGGATGAACAGTAATTGTACCATTTACGATGTGATGCTACTCCTGTCTCGCCAACGTCGATGCCTTTCATGACTCCCTAAGGCCCTTGCGACGACTTGAACAGGGAAATCGAATTCCTACATATGTTGGCATTTCATTGTGCTGGTATTCACTACCTTTTGCATATTCTTACGACGACTTGATTGAATTTCTGCGCTTTCCGCATTTGTCTTCTGTGATGGGGTGTTCGGCGCTTGGCCCTGTGTGCTATTGTTTTCTTCTTTTACCCTACATCTTCAACCTCGGCTTGCTTGTTTTCCGTGCATCAGCATTGTCTCCCGCCTGTCTTGATATCTCTTACATTCTCGTCAATCGTGTTGCAGGCGTCGGGATCTATTTTTCTCTTCCTTCAAATCGCAATTTTACCTTGCTTCACCCTGATTCACCTTTGTCTTAGGTTGGACAGTACAGTGTTATCCCCTTTGGATCACTTTTTTTTTGTTTATCATGCAAGTTCCGAAGGCTTGCACGTTTGCGTGGCATTGCGGATTGGACATCTTTTGTGGAGCCAAGGTGGCTATGGTTTTTTGTTTCTCGGGTGTTTCTCAATTCATCAGCTGGAAGATTCAATTGGTTACTGAAGCTGAGTCTTCCAGGCATGCAAGATTGATATCGGATGGACGGTCGAGGAGGTAATCAGTGACAAGTTGGGCCGCTTTTGTTTTGTTCAAAATAGTTGGATTTCTAACACTGGATCCGTGTGTATGGCGTGCTTATTGAAACCATTTCTTTTTCTATTTTTTTCTTATTCTTTTTTGGGTATATCTGGGGTTGGTTGTAGATGCGTCCAATTAAGCTCACCTGGGCGTGCTTAGCCGAGGTTGGTCCCGAGATCCTTCCAAGGTTAGTCCCCGGGGCTCTGTGAGCCGCTGAATCATCTTGGAACCAACCTCCATTTTGTTTACTAGTTACATGCATCCGTCTTCGAGGCTGATACTGAACCAGGTCTACGAACCCACATTCGGACTGAATAAATATTTGATTCTATCTCGTCATGGATTCCATCGCACCCCCGCCATGCCCGTTCTGCAATATCGCCTCATCATACCCCCCAACCCCCTTCAATGACCCTGAATCCAATCCAGCCTCTACTGCCCCAGATTCAGGTCCATTGTCCCACATCATCCTCTCCACCGAGCATGTTCTCGCCTTCTTGGACATTATGCCGCTTACCCGCGGCCATGTCCTTGTAGCGCCAAGAAATCATTACAAGATGCTAGGAGATATGGGTGTTCAAGCAGGACAGGAGGTACGTAGTTATTCCCCATCAGATTATCGGTGCCTATTCGAAAAATGCTTCTTTGGCTGATCCTTGTCTTTGATTTGACCCACAGATGGGGAAATGGCTGCCCATTCTCTCCAGGGTTGTAATGAAGACTGTGTTTGGCGATGATCCCGATAGACATTGGAATGTTGTGCAGAACAATGGTATGTCTTGCCCTTGCTTTTCTCCATTTTCGGAAACCCTTGATCTTTATCGGATTTGAATACGGAGCATTTCTACGTTGTATGCTGTTATGTATTTGATGTATCAATCAATATTGGCATTCAAGGAGGTTGAACACCCCTGACCGATAGATCATATGTCACTAAAGAAAAACGGCATCTTGTTATCACATGTCTATGCAAGAAGAAAAACAACGATCATCTAACTGAGTCACAGGCGAAAGAGCAGCACAGGTAGTACCCCACGTCCATTTCCACATCATCCCGCGCCCTGCTCAAGGGGCCAATCAGAGAACAAGCTTTGCTATGTTCGGCCGTGGGCAGAGAGAGGAGCTCGACGATGATGAGGCTGAGGTCTTGGCTCGTGAGTTGAGACTTGAGCTGGCTGAGGAAGTCAAACGAATTCATAGGGACGAGGGTGTGGACTTGGCTGCAGATTTGGTTTCAGAAGGAAGCCAGCGAGGGAAGCTATGAAGTACGCTGTATCTGGTATTATCTCATGTTCTTGCATCTGATCATCGGTCTCGTCTTCGGGTTATTTGCTGTATATAGGTACAAAAATAGTCGGCCGCTTATGCGGCCGTGTCAAGTCTTTTATGGTAGTCTTCTCAGATGGTCTTTTAGATGTCTTTTTTGGTGGTCGTTTTTGGTGGTCTTTTGGGATTCTTCTCGGTGGGTCTTTTCAGGTGTCTGTTTTCATAGATATTTTCTCCCCCTTCTCAGTTTGTTAGCTAGACGGCAGAAAAAGGGGGGGGGAGCATACTTTGTGCAGACGGCTTTT